CCTGACTAGGCAGGAAACCCTATACAGTTTCAGACAAATCCAACATCTTCTTAAAGACTTCCAGTGGCATTCACAACATCTGGAGGCAAATTATTCCACTGATTAATTGTTCTAACTGTCAAGAAATTTCTCCTCAGTTCTAAGTTGCTCCTCTCCTTGATTAGTTTCCACCCATTGCTTCTTGTTCTACCCTCAGGTGCCTTGGAAAATAGTTTGACTCCCTCTTCTTTGTGGCAGCCTCTGAGATATTGGAACACTGCTATCATGTCTCCCCTAGTCCTTCTTTCTATTAAAGTAGACATACCCAGTTCCTGCAACTGTTCTTTATATGTTTTAGTCTCCAGTCCCCTAATCATCTTTGTTGCTCTTCTCTGCATTCTTTCTAGAGTCTAAACATCTTTTCTACATCGTGATGACCAAAACTGAATGCAGTATTCCAAGTGTGGCCTTACCAAGTCATTATAACACTATATTTAAACTGTATTTTAGTAGGGAAAGCGGATTCCCTCCCCCCCCCCAAAAAAAACCCCTTCACTCAAGATGCAATCCTATAACAAAAAGACAGAGATAGCTTTGACACAGCTTCTGTTGTCCTGTAAGCAACTCTGAAGTGGGAGGGGGGGGGAGAGGCACTGGCATCTTTCAGGCTCTTGGGTCGTACCTCCAAGCAATAGCTTTCCGTGGTTTTTGCACCGGCCATATTCCAACCAAATGGAACAGGCAAATCCAGGCCATCGACTCACCTTGTGCATCACAATCTTCCTTTGGGCCGGCTCTGCCACATCAATCATTTTCTGTACCACGTAATTGGCATACTGATCTTTCATCATGGTGTATAAGGCACTGTGAGGGCCGTCGTTCATAGTACACACCTCATCAATCAGCATGGCTCGTTCAGTGCGGGAGGCATGCGTGACACATTTCTCCACCACATTGCTGTAGCGAGTCAGAAAAGGTACTGGTTATCTGCTGGCATCCCAACAGGCCACCCGTATCAATGGATTTTGCAAAGTATTTCACGCACCTCTTGAGAGTGGATACGCACACATCCAGAGGAAAGAATCATAAAACATGTTAACTGTTTTCCCCCTTGTTACATAAGAACACAAACTGGGGAACTGAAATAAATGGCCAGGACTGAGTTTTAGCCTGACACCGAGAGGCAGGGTCCCCTATAAACAAGATTTAAAATACATTTGCTAATGTTGGCTGACTGATATCAAGAGCAACTAGAAATAATGCAGAGATACTACCTGCATTCATCTCAAAAACAATTGCTTTACAATATAGCATGTCCCCATCTCCAACTTCTTCATCTACTGTGCTTCTGTTTCCCCGAAAATAAGACAGGGACTTGGGCTTATTTTCGGGAGGGTCTTGTTATTTTTGAGGTGCAGGAGGCAGCAAGCATGGTCACCTCATGGCTGCTGTTGTGTTGCAATATTTTCGGGGAGGGCTTATTTTCGGGGGAGGGCTTATTTTAGCACATGCACTCAAAAGCCCGATTGGGCTTATTATCTGGGAAGGTCTTATTTTCAGGGAAACAGGGTACCGTTAAAAGGTATCCTGAATTGACAAATATGAAATAGTTGGTTGGATGAGAATGAAGATTGTGGTTCTAAATACACACTGCTTCACACCAACAGCAAAATTGCGTAGGTATTCTTAGTTCCTGAAGGAGTAACAATTTCATCCTTCTCTAGTATCTACATTACACTACACAGAAGCTGCCCCCGGCTGGAATTAGATAATATTTTGGGGGGAGGTGTTGGTGCAAGCATTCTTGACTCCCACATATTTGAATTATGTTCCATACGAGGGCAGTGCTGGATGGAACTAAGCAACACAACACCAAGCGATAACCTAATCGTTCACCTCGGTCTGTTCCATAACTGCATTTCAACTCTGCTCATGCAGAATTCATGATTCCAGTACCATTTAGCTTCTCCCCACCTTCCTAATGCCACATTCTGCTTTATGTAACTCTGCCCAATAAAGAGATCTGAAAATACATTTGCGGGATGGGAGCAACACTAATAAATGTTTCATCATTACGAGGAATTCTGAAGCTTTATTTTGAAGCTGTAGCTTTTCTTTCTATATATGAAGGACAGAATCTTTTCCCACTTCACTCCCCCTCCCCCCTACAGCTAATTATTTAGAAATAGACAGAAAGGAATGATGATGATACCTGGCAAATTTGTGCTGACTCAGTACAAGCACGTTGCCTCTAATTTCTGCAACTATCTTGCTTTTATCTTCAGGTCGCCCATGTTCAAGTACATGTTGGATAACATAGTTCCCATATTGATCCTGTTTGGGGAGACAACATGAGAATAAGTCTTAAAGCCCTTTTTATGTTAAACATCCGTTAAACACAATTATAATTACGCAGTACCGTGTAATAAGCTGGGCTGTAATCAAATCAATTACAATCTTCACTTCTGAAATGGAATACCAAAACTCTTGCCTTTTCATCGAATTCTTTCTGTGTCAAATGGGTGTCCCACCCTTCATTCAGGAACTTTAGCATAATGTATGCAATGTTTGTGCCTATTTCCCCCCCACAAAAGCACAAGAGGTAGATTGGTAGGTTGAATAGGATACTCAGTTGCTATGTTTCCTACTGCTAGTCTAACACCTTTAATAGTATAATTCAATGTTTCTCAGACTTGGCTATTTGAAGGTGCGTGTGCTACAATTCACAGCAGCTATGCTATGCTGGCTGGGGAAATTCTGGAAGTTGAAATCCACACATCTTAAAGTGTCCACAGTCAAGAAACTCTGTTGTGCATTTGGTCCTTGTTTAGCTATCACAATTGGGATCGACAACTAAGCAAGTGAAATCACAACTACACTCATGATCTTATTTCAGCTTTCCTTTACTTTACAGACCTGCTAAGGTCATGCATCCAAGTATTGGTCATTTTGAAAGCCGATCACCTATCTGGAGAACATCCTGATTCCGGAACTCTGTGCAATTTCATTTATGATTTGACAGATTACCTGCACAAGCTGATCTGTGTGTTGATGAAGCTCTTCCAGGATAGGGAGGGTCTGTTCAGGTAGACAGTGTTCAAGGATCCTCTGAATGACCCGGCAGCCATAGGGATGGGTTGACAAGGCAAACACCTGAGTTCAACAGACAGAGGTGAGGACAGGGTAAAAATCCTTATTCAGAACAGCCTAAATTTAAAACAAACAAACAAAACAACAACAGGCAATGTAGCATGTCAAATATTTTTTTTAATTACTCGCTAGTTATCACTCACTGCCAACCGTGAAACTGAATTCTTTGTACATTTTAAAACTTGATGTTAAGATCAATGGTGACATGGTGCAGTTGGGAGAAAAATGGTCATTTGGGCTTTCAAAACGTCGTTGTGAGCTACCTTGTTTTCCTGCAGTTCTGGAAAAGAGAAGGTAACCTTGGCCTACTGCATGCTGGATTATTTGAACACGGCAATGCTTTTAGCTTTCTGCACATGACTTCTTGGCTCTCCTCACGCGCAGCGCCCTAAAATCTTGCTGAAGGATTCAAATACTTTTTTTAAAAAAACAAACTGCCTGTTCTTTATAGATATAGATATATCTCCAAAGGATACTTTGACTTTCAATCCCTTCTTAAAACTTAGCTCATTTGTATGGTGTTTGCTTTTCAGCTCTTTAGTTTCAGTTTGAGTGCATACACAATTTGCTCAGCGACTTTGGGAAAATATTTGAAATTTAACCATCCCCTAGAACCAGAAACGACTAGCACGCATGTGCGGGGGAACCTTTACTTTAGAGTACCCAAAATTAACTCCTTCCGCCCTGTTGTTTCACATCAATTTCCCTGCCTCCTCACGTCTGTGTACATTCTCTATCAAACATGCACACAAACAACCTTCTTACCTGCCCCTTAAATGCATCAATTATAAACTGCAAGGATTGTGGCTGCACACATTCAATGCATTTTTGCACAACATGATTTCCATTCTGGTCTTTTACACATTTCAAGACGTGGCCATCCAGTTCTCGGACCATCTCGTTCTATGGAAGAAGGGACAGAGAAACAAAGAGAAAGCACCACCAGAACCACAGACAGCAAGCCCTGTAAGAACCAGGCCTCAAGAACCAGTTAAGACTCTTCTTCTTCACCCTAAACTCCCAAGCACTGATCAGCAAGATTCTCACGGATCTTGGGCAAAATGAAACTTCTCCCATCTCCTGTTTATGATAAATCAGGAACTGAATCACAACAAATTAAAACCCAACATGGTTCTGGAAATGACATGATATTGCTCTGTTCATCCAAGTATTTGGTTCATAAATATTTCAATTTCAAGCTCAAAATGGGATAGTCTCAAACTCTTCTAGAATGGTCAGGAGAGCATCCAAACAGCAATCTTAAGCTTGGAACAGAATGTTTCAAATTCAGGATGTTTTAGCAATAGCACTTAGACTTATATACCGCTTCATAGTGCTTTTACAGCCCTCTCTAAGCGGTTTACAGAGTAAGCCTATTGGCCCCAACAATCTGGGTCCTCATTTTATCCACCTTGGAAGGATGGAAGGCTGAGTCACCCTTGAGCCAGTGAGATTTGAACTGCAGCTAGCAGTCAGCTGAAGCAGCCTGCAGTACTGCACTCTAACCACTGCGCCACTTTGGCTCTTTGGCTCGGTTTTGAGCTCAAAATATTTTTTGCAGAGGCCTATTATTTGACTTTTAAAAAAAAACCAACCCCAAATGTGTGCTTGCCAATCTCCAGAGTAGATTTGGCTGAATGGGTTGTGGGCAGATGGGCAATCTCAAAAGAGGAATGTCCTAACTGCAGCTCCTCCTAGCTAGCAATTGCCACTCCCCCCCCCCGCCCACTCCCAAGAAAATAGCAGAGCAAAGGCTGCAAAAGGCCTTCCATTGTTTTCTTCACTACCTTTATGGCAAACACATATCATCCCCTTGCCCAGCTATACCTAGTCTTGCGCTCCCCAAAAGTCTTTCGCTATTTGTACACATACAAAGGACACAAAGCAGATGACAATCACAAACCACTAAAAGGAGAAGGAAAAAGAAAAAAAAACACACAAAGACAAAGCTTAAGAGGATTTTAATTTAAAAGGAAAGGAAACACTGACATGTAACATCAAGAGATAAAATTAAAATGGAAACTTACAATTACCTGCTGGTCTGGGGGAATAAACTCAAGAGCTTTCTGTATAACTCGGCAGCCGTACATTTGCAAAGCCAGGGAGAGGACGTGGCCACGGATGCGTTCTGCTAAAGCCAGCTTCTGTTCTAGGCTGCCAAACTAAAAGCAATGACAACAGTTACAAGACACATGTCAAGAGTTTTGTTCTGACCGAGACTTCCCCAGCAGCACAAAGCAGAGTCCTCATCCCTATAAACCCCTTTTCTTTAATTCACAGTGAATTCCTCTCCAGCAAAGTCCCGGCCCACAGTCTTTCAAGATAGTTCACAATTACCGACTTTATCAGGCTTGGAGAGTGGCCAGGCCAATATCTTTCAGATGCCGCAATACTTGGCAAGAACGCAGGAATGAACTAATTGTCTCCTGCAAACTCCCCTCCCCTGTCGCTCCTCTTTTATTCCCTATGGGAGGGGCCATTCAACATCCACCTGTGGCCTTACTCCCAAGTCGATCCTTGTTCCTTAGCTGTTCCCCTCCTCTGGCAACTCTGCACATGGGCACACTGGGAACAGGCTCCAGCTGTTCGTCTGCCTCATTGATATTCGACTCAGAAGGTAGCTGATAACTGTCAGACGGCCCTGGCCCCTTCTCTGCCTCTGATGCAGAGCCCACATCAGAGCCTCCCCCAGACACCAGGACTAGCCCATGTTCCTCCCCAACCTCCTCACTGTCCGAATCTGCTGCCAGCTCTGCCGACCTCTGGCAGGCCACAACAAGTTTATCAAAACACGTCAGAGCAGGTTAAAACCCACTTCATTTATAGTGTTTTAAAATGGCCAAAAATTTTGCAAGATTGTCAAATCACAGGTTTCTGCCTTCTCCTCACATGAGATTTCACAAAGTGATATCGTCGTGACTGCATGAGATTAGGGGTGGGAAGGAAACAAGGATGTTCCCCTGAAAGAGTTTGCCAACTCCTGAATCCTTCCGCTTAATTTGCTGCTCAGCCAAATGGAAACAATACCTTCTCTGGAAATAGCGCGGTAAACAGGACTCACCTCAAAAAATTTCTGAATTACATAATTTCCAAAGACATCAACCATCAGCTGATAGGCTGCCTGTAGGATTTCATTGAAGACAAGCTGTCTTTCAGCTGGGGTGGCACGTTCCAGTTTAAGCTGGATAAACCTGGAGAGGGCACAATTAAACAAGAAATTTGTACGGCTGATGTTGGTGCGTATTTTAAAAACTTGAAATTATGGAAGTAAGAGAAGTGTGCCTAGCATTGATTTGCCTGACATAAAACAAATAATAAACAGGACTGAAGTTTTCTACTAGGTTAACTTACACATTACCCTCCAGCCAGCAATTCCCTATTGATTTTAACTCAAAATAAGCATAAGTCCAATGATACCAATTGCTACCAGCATGCTGAAGCATATAAACCCCTTTTTACAGAAAAATCTTCCTTTATGTCTTTGCCTCAGGACAGCCCCTTCAATAAGAGCTTTTAGAAACAAGTGGCTCCTAGATTCTGAGGTATTTCCTCTATGGAAACACCTCCTCTAGAGGTAAACACTTAAAGTTTTTTAAGTTGCTTTAAGAATCTCCTCTTTTTTTTGCAAACTTTCGGACACTTTTACGCAGTTTCTTCTGCCAGTCCATGATACTGTCCTATTCCTTAAAGAAACTATTTCGAAACATTTATAGGAATGGACTGTCTCAGCCTCATGCCAAACCTGAAGGCCTTCGATGATCTCCCCAAGACTTCAAAGTATATTTTTTAAGGTGAAAAGAGGATGAAACGTGCAATTGTATTAGCCACATTTTAGCCAGCTGGGTGTCCTTGGGTCAGTTACTTAGCCTTAGGAAGAGCACAATAGCAAACCACTTCTGAAAAAATTGCCAAGAATAGTATGGATTTGTTATTTAGTTGCCAGGAATGAAGACTGACTCAGAGAGACCAGAACAAAAACCTCCCCAATATAAATAGGAATATAGGCTAATCTGATTGTCAGTGTTCCAAGTAATGCACCCTTAGAAAGCAGAACTCTGAGGCAGGCAGATTCCTCAAAGAACAATTTATTGGGTACATCGTATTTGGCACAACTGGCGAAAATGAACTGAAAAGTTCCTGCAGTTTTCACCTAATTAAACAGTGAAAGTTCTCCCCTTCCCCCAAATCATCAGTCGCATTGTCCAATAGAGGTGCTGGCCTGTTGCTTGCTTACTCTGCTCCTCCTCTCCTTAGCACCTGTTGGAATGCCCTTGGTTCCCACAGGAAAACTTTTTGTTTTGACTACAACCCCCCCCCCCAGCTATCTATTTTCCACTGTCCCCTTTTCTGCCTTGTGGCAACCCTGAAACCTCAAAGATGGCCTCAACCAGATTTGCTTCAGGGTTGACACCGATTTTGCAGGGCTCCCTCGTGTCCTGCAGAATGCTACTCAAACGTTATGCTTGACCCTGGGGAGGGGGGAATTCCCACGCTCTTTTCTACAAAAGTTCTCCTCTGCTCGTTCTCCCCACTCGCCTTGATCCATGTTGATCCTGGGAAAATTCCATAATGTGACCAGCAATCTCTCTCAACTGCAGGTTCGGGTACCGGTTATTACGGAAGTCTTCGAGCAGCCTGCTGCGGCCGGAGGGCATGACATCGGACATCCCGTAGCGCAAACGCGAGGACGGGAAGAGGGTGCTGCTGGGACTGAAGAGACTGGAAGCGCTGCTTGCACTCCGGTACTTGGCTTCAGCTCCGGGGGCAGCAGAGATGTAACGGCCACTTCCATTTGTGAGACCTCCTGCAAGGAGTTTTTTTTTAATGTCAAAATACCAGAGGTAGCTAATAATAAGTGACTAATAAAAATGCCTCAAGCTGAAAACACATGGAGTCATTTCCCCAGGCTATAACTGAAGTGGGACAGACTTTTTAACTAGAAATATTTTTTTTTGCACATGTGATCATTCAGTGGTTGGTTTTAGCCATGAGGGCAAGAGCTGTGGTTTCCATGTCCTTTGAACATTCGCCCCTTTCTTTACCGGCACCACAGAGGTGATTAGTCAGTTTCTATCATCATCGTCTTTTAACGATCCCATTATCCCTTGCGGGGTGGAGTCTGCGCAACTGAATGGAGCTAGCAGAATGTTTACTGGCCCGATGCCCTTCCTGACACCAATGAGGAGTTTTATTCGGCAGTTATATTCTCAGGGTGCCCAGAGAGAAATATCTGCCTCTACCTAGGATCGAATTCACAGCCTCCTGATTGTGAGGAGAGCGCTCTGCCTCTAGGCCACCCCACCACTCCTAGTCAGTATATATATCCCGCTTTAAAAGTCGCCAACGGACGAGGGTTAAAATGAGACAGCTCTCTCCCCACAAGAAAGCACCCTCGGAGAAAACCAAGCTTCTATCACATCTTTGCTGCCGCAGAATAAGCTTTACACTAGTGAGCTAAGCAGATGAGTAGTTGTTACTTTCTCAGAAAAATAGTCGGGACCTATCGCTTAGCAACAGCATAACTTTGCTGCTGTTTAAGAGAGATTTCCAGCTCAATAATATGTAAACACATAAATTCTACTTTGACTGCCACTGGTGATACTTCCTTACTGGAACATCTTATGTATTATCCCACACTTCTCCACCTATTTGCTAGCATATGCAACCTCGGAAAAGCAACCTGTGCAGTTTCTCTAGAAGACATGCCTTGATCAATACACCTTGGGTATGAAATTATGTTATCTACCACCTACAGGTGTGCAACGCTATCAAGAGCCAAACACGGAACAATCCTGGATCCAGCACACTTTTGCATATACAGCCACTCTGTTTCCTGGGATGCCATCATCTTTCAGACCAAGAAAAAAAGGCTAGGGTCGAAAGCCAGTAAGGGGAAAAGCTCTTGGCTAATAAGACTAAAGAGATAACAGTTTAATGAAGCAGCATTCACAAAAGGAATATTTTTGGGGTATTTCTGGCTGAGACAAACAAAAAGCAGCTTTGTAAGGATTACAGATCATTTAAAAAGATAGAAGTCTTCTGAACTTCTTTAACTGGGCAAAGCAGGGAGTCCAATCTTGCTAGGCCCACAAAACAGTTTTGGGGGGGGGGGGGGGGTTCAAGAAGGAAGAATCCTAGCCAGTTCAGATTTTGGACTTTTGAGGCCCTGTTATGTCTGCAGGAATATCTAACGAAGCAATATAAATCATTTAAGCATATAACAGTAGATAAAATGGTACCCTTCCAATATTTTGAATTAGCTGTCAGTCAAACCATCTGGAGGACAGCAAGTTTTCCTGCAAGCAGTGGGCCAGGTGGGAAACAACGAGCAGCCACAGCTTCAACCAAGATGC